TCACGAGGATCACATGATCTCTCGGACATGCTTGTCCGTTTCGTTTCGGAACTTTGGGAGTTAGTTTAGGTGTAACAGTAATATAGGGTCACTCCACAATATGTAATAGTTGGATGGGTAATGTACAATCAGAGGGTTACAATGGTAAATTTGTATACTTGAAAGAACTTATGTATTATGTAAGTATCAATATTAAGGATAATGACCAGCTTATTGAACATGGTGAAGTGAGAAACGCCGGTTATAATTTAATAGTAGACTAAATGTCACATCTATATAACCAATATTTAACATTATATCGCTAATGTATATTTACACCACTATTTTATTCAGAATTTTTAATTATATTAATGAATTATTGTAAAAAATTCTGTTACAAAGCTGCCTATATATAGTATATGATTAATGTTATATTTAATTAGCATTAAAATTATCATCATTCTAACATGATTGCTATAAACATTCTATTGCAGAACTAAACCAAAAATGGTATTAGTTGAGTTGGTTTGTGTTGTAATTATCATGATTTCTATCATTAAGATACTTCAAAAAATTTTGGTACAGAATTTACCATTATGGCGATGGGTAAATTAGTTTGCATTGTGATTTCTATCGAGATTTTCACCATGGGTTACTGTGAGATTCAGTTACAAAACTTGCTATTCTGGTGATTACTGTACATACAATAGTTAAAGTTGAGTAAGTTTGCATGGGAATTATTGTGATTTCTATCATTCTATGAAAATTATATTACAGAACCTGTTATTTAATAATTATGATATACGATTAAAGTTGAATTAGCTTGTATCAGAATTATCATGAATTCGATCATAAGCTACTATAAAAATTTTGTTACAAGACTTACTCGTTATTCCAGCATCCATAGTATGTTTGGCTTAGTTCTTGTATTGAAATTAGTTATCGTTATGTAAACCATTTTGTTACAGAACTTGCAAATGCAGTACCCACGTCTATAAAAAAAGAGTTGTGGCTAACTTCTATGAGTTCATGGAATTAAAAATAAAAAAAAATCCATCGAATTCGTATAGTTGGATGTCGAGAAATCTTCGTTTAAAGTTCAAAGAAAGAAAAATTTACTCGATTTTTCTTTTTCCGATATTTCAAGTTTTTTTTAAAAAACTTTTGGCGATGGTTTCTCACAACTACTAAACATAATTCAATGAAATTTTTAATTTTAATCCTACTAAACTATTAAATTAAAATCAAAAAAAAATTTCCGAATCTGATCAAACAGGTATTGTGAACCATTCGCTGGAAGTTTTAAAAAAAAATTCGTTCAAGATGATATATCCTGTGATTATCCGATGATCATCGATAATCGGGCAATTTCGTGATGTACCTGACCCTCTTTAAAAAAAATTTCCTCTGAACAAATATAAGTAGTACCACTTCAAGATAAATAACGATAACTATGTCTGATAATATTTCTCTTCCATCAATCGAAGAAGTTAATCAATGGAACCCGAAACAAGTTATCGCTTTTCTGGAGTCTTATAATGATAAACAAAAATTATATCTCAGAAATGAAGATATTAAAATAATTAAGGATAACTGGGTCCGCAGCTCAGCCTTCCTAAAGTTGAATGTGGATGAACTTATTCAAGATGGCTTAAAAAGAGGACCGGCTAAAACGATCATCGAGTTGATTAACAAAATTAATGGTGAAGGAGAGGGTAAGTAGTACCACGATTGCATCCGAATATTCAAACCTATGCTGTTTTCTCCGTAATAATTTCATTCATTAATGTGTGCCTCACTAATACTAGAACTTAAGAAAAAAGGAAAGGCAAAATAAGAACGTAAGATTATAGAGAGTTGGCTTTGCTTTGCTTTGTATCGTACTCATTCTTAATAATTTTTTGTTTGATCAGTTGTGATTACTAAACCGAAGAAGAGAAAGTGGTCGGTAAATAGTGCTACGTATTACGCGAGAAGAGCGTTCTATCGTCTATTTCGTGGATCCGACAGATCAGAATGCTCCACTTCTTGAATAGGTATATCGAGGTGAATTCGTAGCATTATATGGATCACGAGCCTCTGGAAAGTCTACACGAGTGCTCCAACTTCAGGACCAGTTAAATAGCAAAGACTTTGTTTGCATCTAGTAAGTTAGCTCTCGCTTGTTAAATTAACACAGAACGTAATCAAACTTCAATCTTCATTTTCTCAACTTTCTGTCATGTTACCATTTCCTCTGTATAGTGCATCTTTTGAACATGTCAGCATGAATAATGTAGACCTTTTCTGGCAAACACTCGGCATGAAACTTCAACGTAACGCACCCGAACTTTTTGGCCCTCTAAAAAGCCCACAAATCGAATCCGCAAACGATTTTTTTTAACACTTTTCATAGAACTCAATGGAAGTTTTTAGATACTGTCATCCTATTTGATGAGTTTGATATGTTGTATAATGCAACGGATGACGTTCTTACCTCGTGTATGACGACACTTCGTGTCACACTTCGTGGCATCAAAGCCAGTAAACAAGACTATACCATAAGCTCCATCATTGCCATTGGATCCTTCAGCATCATGTATTTAAATTCGAATAATTTGACCACTTCACCATTCCAGAACCCGAACTTTACTTTGGAACAAGTACAATTTTATACAAAGAATTTGCGGATGAATACGAATTGAAAATTAACCAAAAAGTTATTGAGGACATGTACATACAAACCAACGGGTATGCAGCTAAATGAAGATTAATCCTTACCAAGAGTTTTAATAGACATGCTGGTTTTGTCTGCCTTTGCGGACGTGTTATATATAGAAAACTACCATCAGAAATAGGATTACACTTGAGCCATGACTCATGGCAATATTTCACCACCTTCTTACTAGGAAATGCGATTTTAGAATACCCAATGTTTATAAGAATGAAGGATGCCTTTTTGAATAAGAATTTATGGATGCTGTGAAACTATTCCGATCTGATTTTCTGGCGAATTTTGATCTTGTACTTATCACTGGAAAAAAAAAGAACCTAGCTTTGTTCCTCACAGCAGAAGGAGTCCTGGTTCCTGTAGATAATAATGGGACGTTTACCTTTAGTGTGCTGGATGGTCCCTCAGCAAATAATTCCTTATGTATTTCTAACTTCACCTAAAGTAGATGTCCCATACCATCCTTTAGGTACCTTAAACATTTTTGAGGTCTTAAAACAAGTTATACGTGTATTTTATCAAGAAACAATAAAATCTTGTAACTCTTTTAAGTTGGCACGTGTACTTGTTAACAATGCAAATAATCAGGAAGTTCCTAGAGAATCGGTGTATGATGCAGAACTTTACCGGATCATGTCAAATTGGCTTGGTAGATTTACAGTAACAGGACAATGGCACCTGAAATATCGTGCTAGTGGGCATATAAATAATAAGTATGTCGACATGGTTATATTGTGACCTAATAATCCAACAATTGCTCTTGAACTCTTAGCTACAGCATCAATAAAAGAACTTAAGGAACACTATGAACAGGCACTCCTATATGACAAGAAACTACCTGCAGATGAAACATGGGTTGTTCATTTCACCTGTTGCGAAGACACCATTTCAAAACTATACTGGCCAACCGAATCTCAATTGCAAAAGGGCCTTCGAGTCGTATACTTTTGGCACGACCTTAATTTTACAAAAGTTAGTGTAATTGCATGTTTGGTGGGATACAAATAATAATACGAGGCATGTTACTGATGTCGAGAAATGGTGAATATTTCTTTTATTGCTTGCTTAATATTTCCATGTTTTTAACGGCCATTTCTCGATCGCAGGTTTCGCAATAGTTAGAATATAACAATTAAGATTAGAATATATCAAATATATTTGTTTTTTGCTCTTAAACTATGAACAAAGCCAATAAATGTGATATGCATTTGCTATTATAAAGCAATAATAAACCTGGTTTACTTTGATTCTGGTTCAACTTCCCGAAATCCATTTTTGCGAAATACTATTTCACCGAACCCTACTGACAGTCATTTCACCAACATGACATAATTCTGACATCTCACTTTTCCGATAAGCCATTTACAGCTGATTTGAAAATTAGTAGAGCGCTTGAAAATTTTGCTTGTTTCCAAAACCGTTCGAATTTGTTTTATGAATCATCCAACTCTTCAGAAATCACATCACAATTTTCAGATCAAAGTTCTGATAGTTCCTGAAGATTTAAATGACGAATCCAAAAGGTTTCGGGAACAAGGAAAACTTTCAAGTGTCTTACTAATTTAAATCAGCTGTAATCGAAAGCCAATTCCCTGATATGTAATTTAACCGTTAATCTAAATATTTCGAATCTATTTGCATGATAACTTATTTTATTGAACAACCATTTTTCTAATTGTATATTTCTTAGACAGCCTTTTTACTAACAGATTGTATAATCAGGAAAATATCTGTCAGAAAAACAGAGTGATGTAAATTGGATACGCGCAGTATGCACAGCATATATGCTCTTAGTTTTCTACATATTTCATTAAAACATGTTAAGTGACATTTTTATTAATAGCACCTATTATTTTTTAGCTTCAATATATAGAGCACATATGAAGCTAATAGGTTGCATTTGTGATTATTATAGATAATGTATACTTTGTATATGTAAAAAAATTTTGAATTTATAACACTGGTTATGGGTGGTTGTTGCTCAATTCCCCGAAAGTTACTTCCCCGCCAACTCATTTCCCCGACACCATAATGCCGACATGCTATTTCATCTAAAGCACATTTTTTCGATAAGATATATATTGATATTACGTGTTTTCAACAATCCTTTTCTTAGACAAGACATTTCCCTAACTTCCTTGACTTAAAATTGGCCGATTTAGCATAACATCGAACATATATCTTATCGAAAAAATATGCTTTAGATGAAATGGCATGTCGGCATTACGGTGTCAGAGAAATGAGTTGGTTGAGAAATAACTTTCAGGAAATCATACCGTAATCATTATAGGTACACATAAGTGCTTAAATTGCTTATTATACGTAAGGTGACTGAAAAGTTTTGTCAGTAGACTATTATTTCAATCATTTTTAAAAATAAGATTTTAAAACTAATATATATGAATATAGTGGTTATTAATAAAGGCAATTTCTATTTGTACACAGAGTGTTTGTACACGAGGTATATAAAAAACTAATTGCTATCTTGAATTTTTGATTATGAAACCACCTTTTGGCTTTTAACAAAAAAAAACTCATTGTGAAATTTTGGTATAAAAAAACTCTTGCACCAATCCCAAACCCACCCTTACCCTAACTATAACAAAGGTTTAAATTTTTGTTTATAAAAATTATTTGTTTGGTATGTTATACAAATCTGTAAATCAAAAATTAATACCCATGTCTATACACATAGTGTATAATTTGTTATTTCTATTAATAAATTTGCAAAAAAAATGATAAATTTAGTTAATTAGATAGTTTTTAAAAAAAAATTAGTTTAAAAATTGCTAGTTTAAACAATTGAAATTAAAATAAAAATTTAAAAAATATTATAAATATTAAAAATCCTTATATGATCAAAAATTTTATATTTAAAATAATTAGCAATATTGTTTTATTTTTTTAGTTTTAAGGTAAGATCTTGCTCATATCTTTATTTAATAATTTATATAAGTAGTTATATAAAAACTCAATTTGTCATACAACTCTTCTGACGATCTCTTGCACCAACTTTTCCAAAAAGCCTGATCTATAAAAACTATACAGTTACTATGTTTAAATACTACAAAACTTTACTAGAAGCAGCTGGGATTAGTGGCTATTCACTGCGTGTTGACATAACTAAAATAGAGTTGAAAAGAGTCTTCCTTGTAAGCAAAGTCCCCTGGCAGAAGACTCTAGTGCTACCAAGTGAAGAAGTAGCAAACAAGCTCTAGAGCTTTGTTAAGTACTATAGAAGCCTTGGCAGAAGTAGCTACTTAGTTAGATATATTATTCTGTATAGCATAACTCTTACTGTCTTCTTCAAGTTGGCTGCCTTCTATCCTCTTTTCTATCTCAAGGTTTTTCTGACAAAAAGTGGGCAATTTGGTTTGCCTTCTACAAGTGATCGACAGTGTTTACACAAACCAAATCAGGAACTGGAAGTCACGTATCCTTTTCTACACATGTTCAGAATAAACAATATATATACTAATTACATATGATACATTAGTTTTGAATAATATAGGGACTTCGATACTCAGTACCATATAATTTTTACTAGGCTACTATAGCCAAACTACACACTGCACATTTCTTTTCTTTTCTTTTTTTATTATTTTTTCTCTGTTCACTATATATATTTTCTTTGTCTCCCACAAGATGCACCCATCAAGGTTACTTTATTCTTTTTTTTGCTTTTTTCATCTTTGTCCATTTACATTAGAATTATTTTTAGAACATATTTTTTTCTCTTCTTTTATATATATATATTTTTTCTTTTCTTTTTTCTCTCTTTCTAAATGTTTTTTTTTTCTTTCGTAAACATGGCATTTATTTTTTCCTTATATAGAAGTAAGAAATAAACTATTCTGCCCAGATCTAGGTAGAAGAAGTTTTAAAAAGAGAATAGGTAGTCTTGATAGGCCAGCAGAAACCTTCTGGTGATATATTTTTTCTTTTGATTGCAGAAAGAAATTTTATAAAGGAAAATCTCTGTTTATAGCAGATCATATGTAGATGTCTATTGGATAACTAGATGAGCCAAAACTTGTAATTTAGGTGTTGATAGAATTATTCCTTCAAAAAATTTTAATATTTCCTAGAATGATATTAATTATCCTAATAAAGTTGAGGCAAGATTGCTAAATTTTCAAAAAAAAAAAAATTTAAAAACTCAATTTGTATAATAACAAATAAATATAAATTATATACAAGAATAAAAGCTTGGACAGTTTATTATCTGTAATTTAAACCTACTAGAGTGGTCAAGACTCATCTAGATTTGAAACCTTTATACAAATCTAGATAAATCCTAGATAAGTATAAAGTTTTATAATAATACATACTATGAAATATATGAAGTAAGTTGTTTGTAATATAAAAAATTTAATATAAATTAAGTTATGAGTATAGTAAAGTTAAAAAGAAATTGTAATAAAGTTAAAATAAAAGTAATAATGTAAGTTAAATAGTAATAATAGTAAAAAAGAAGTTAAAAAGAAATTATAGATAAATGGAAACAAACTCTTTCTGTAGATCCTTAGTACAAAAATTTTTCCAAACCCGTCCTAAACAAAAGTTCACTTTTATTAATTTTTTATTAAGATAACCTTACTTCTTGCTCTAATAAAACTTGTTCTATACCTAAAATTATATATATTATTGAAATTTTATAGAAATAAACCCCGAACTTGTCAAGTAACGGCCTTCTAGGCCAAATACGTTTCTTTTGCCGTTTACATTAAAACTAGATTCTAAATTTTAGTTCTAGTTTAAGACAAAATTGTTCTACACGCTCTCCTCTTCAAAACAAGCTATAATAGACCTCTGTAGCCCCAATATTGACGAAGTTATAGTTCAAAGCAACTTCAACTCCCCTATACTCTTTTTTCTTCTTTTGCCTTGGGAAATTTCTATTTCCCAAACACATAGAATCGTTTTTCGTGCAACCCACATTGCCCCAATCGTGCAACACACGTTTTATAATACTCTAAAATTAGTGGTGCCTTCTAAATTACACTAAAATTGTCTAATTATTAATTAATATCGCACAACTTTAATATCTGCCTTTTTTGTAACTTCTATTCATACAATAAGATTTCCTTTTTGGTCTCGTGTAACACGTGACTATCACGTGACTTTGTGTAACACGAAACTTCGGAATTCTATTTTTAGGTCACGTGACTTGTGTAATCTAAAATAAGGACCCTTCTCTGCTTACCCCTCAAAGATCTAACTTAATATAACCCTGTTCTATTTTAACACCCTTTTTTCAACTTAGAAAAATTATCTTTAAAACCAAA